CGGCGGGGGGCTGTGAGGCAGGGCTGAGATGCTTTAAAGAATAGTAAGACGTTTAAAAATCCATTCAGAGGCAAAGGAGGTGTAAAACCTAGGCTGGAGTCGAGACTGCTGTTGCCCCAGAGCATCCTGTATCCCTAAGATGCTGCAAATAACGCCTGTACCCCCAATTTGGCGCTTTGTCCCCCTTTATTGACTGGTCACAGGCCGTCCTGGGTTATCTCTGTGTCCTGCAGCCTCACATAGAGCCCAGCGGACAGTTCTGGAGCATTTCTGTGGGCGCCTTTCTTCTCCTTTGCTGCTTTCTTCTCCTTTGCTGCTTTTAAAAATCTCTTGCATAATAAACTGCCAGGGAGCTGGTGCATTGCACTGAGGGTAAATCACTTAAGTTATTTTCCACGCTGTTTAGGATAACTGAATTCTTATTCAGTACCATTAGGGATGAAATTCCCAGGAAACAGCTTGAAAGAGAAGGAAAAACTGCTAAATATTTACTGAAATGCTGCTGTTGGACAGTGCAGGCGGTGATGAGGAGTACATTTACATTTACGAGGTTGGCTTCGCTGGTGTGGACACTAAGTAGGAAACTCAGACCATCAAATGGTTTCTCTGTGTTGCTGAAAAGAAATAAATTCTGCTTTCTACAACCATAGCGATGCAAGGATTGTTACTGCATCTTCACAGGTAGAGGAAAGAATAAATAAGTCAAAGGGCAGTTTGGCATCTCTTGAACAATGATGCTTTGTGTGATCATAAAATGTAAGAACATGTTTCTGTCACCTGGAGAGCAGGGCAGCAACATTTGGTTAATTGGAACGTAGGGTTTACTCCGCTGAGTGGAGATAAGCATTTGCAAGGAGGTAGTATGTGTGTACCTGTTAGTGTTAATAATTAACATAAACTCCACAGGTTTTTCCCAAGTTCTCCTGATATTTCCTCTCAAATGAAGGCTCCATGTGGTATGGAAATGCATCCCCATTAACACACTTGACCAGATGAGAACAGAGTCTCAATATCCAGCCCAGAAAATCCTGTTCCTGCAGAAATCAGTGTCCAAATCCTGCTGCTTTCAATGAAGCAGCAGGTCCAGCACTCTTGAATGACCCTGTCTGGTATTAAGATGTGTGTTTTTCATGTTTTTCTTGAGGTAAAGGTTTTTGTTTGAAGGTAAGAGGAACAGAAATTGGAGGATGAGGTTATACCTCTGCAGCCCTGAGTCCACAGTAGGGGTGCCTTCCTTCTGTGCCCTCCAAATGGTGCTGTTTAGACAGCAAGTCTCTTATCTCCTCGGTGTGCTGGAATGGGAGCAGTAGTATGTTTTGATGCCTCTTGTATGGCATGTGGTTAGTGTCTAGTTGATACGTTGATACAAACTGAAGTTGCATTGAGCCCCTGCTACTCTCAAACTGCAGCCTGAGATGTGCAGAAACATAGAAGAGAGCAGAGCGTCCGAGACAGCTCTCCAGACAGGCTGAGGGTCTGCCTCAAGCACCTCTTGAAAGAATTCGCCAAAAGCACTAGGGCAGAGACTGAGTCCAACAAAAACTGAAACCAGCCCTGCCAAAAACCTTGAGAGCCTCCCTGAGGGGCTGCGGCAGGCCCAGAGTCACAGCCTTGCTCTCATTTCTTGACAGAAAGGTTTGTTCCATCAAGAAGATTGCTGGGGGCAAGGTCCAGAATCGAGAGTAAACACCCTTAAATTGTGCTTAACTGTGCAGGACAAATACTGCTGTTGTGGTAAATTATGTGAGGAGTTGCCACGGTCTGTTAAGAGATGCAACACTAATCACAGGCCAAGCTAGAGAAGTTTTGTGCCGCTTGGTTGGTTCAGGTTGCCTGGAGGGGGACAGCAGGACCATGTGTGAAGGCCTCCTTGCAGAGGAGGGATGTAAGTGGAAGGATGGAGAAAAGGGTGTGGGTCATCTGCTCGAGGCCTCACACCGGCTCTGGGCCTCAGAGGATGCCAGACCTAATGGATCAAAAGGTTTTGGGGCTGGAGGAAGTCCATGCAAACAGAGAAAGACGCTGAATTAGAAGAGTAGCTGATAGGACTGGAAGAAAATGATGTGGCACAGGGGTGCTCAAGGAAGGGGAGGACAAATCCAGCAAACATGCCAACGTCTCTAGGGGTGGGATTCCTGCTGGAAGAATCTTTCTGCAGTCATCCTTCCTTGAAGCCACCGGGGCCGGTGGGATGAAGGCGAGGTTTGTTGGGGCATGCTGCTCCGTGGTCCTTGCCAGCACTGTTTTAATGCCCACTCTTCTGTCTCTGCTGCAGTGCTGCATTCCGAGAAGGAGTTCCACAATGCAGCGAAGCGTAATGACACGGCCAGGATGGAGGAGCTCATCAGGAGAGGGGTCGACATCAAAGCCAAAAACAATGTAAGTCCTGGGTTTTTCCACCTCTAAGCTGCAGGAGGTGCTGAGGGTGTGTTTCAGAACTGCGGCTTCTTAACACTGCTCTCATTAGCTGCTCAATTGGTCAGAGCTTTAAAATACACCACCCAGTGCCTAATAGGGCCTGTGGCGACTGAGCAGTTTCACAACACACTGAAACTCACAGCACTGTCCTCCTGGCCAGACTGGAAAGTTGCAAGCGCTAAGTGAGGGTGATAATTTATGGTTCTTCTTGGAATGTCTGTGCCAGATACAGTTGTAATGCAAGGTTTTGAATTTCCTATCTCTGTTCGCCAAGGCTGTGGGACTAACTCAGTTCCTGGTGCAGGTTCCCCCTTGTTGACTAGTAGGTTCCTGGAAATACGGGACTGCACCCATCCCTACTGTTTCGATCTGTCCATCCATGGTCAGCGATGTTTCTCATTCCTGTGCCATCGTTATAGTCCAGAACTGCAGTTTCTTAGTAGAAGGTGACTAACACCTGTCTGCCTGATAAGAGCAAAGAGACAGAGGGCTGTGTTCAAAGAAAACCCTGCACAGTGTGAGAGATTCTGGCTCTGTGGATGGCAAAGGGATTTTGGCCTTTGGGAAGGCTGGTGGATACACACGCACCCTGCATACATCAGCCTTCCCTCTCCCCTTCCTCCCCTTCCAGACAGACCGGACTGCCCTGCACTGGGCTGCGGGAGCAGGGAACGTGGACGCTGTGCGACTGCTCCTGGACCACGATGTCCCAGTGGATGATGAAGACAGTGTACGAAGGCGAATCTCCCTTGTGTGTCTTCCAAATGTGTTCTGTGTTGGGGGAACACCAGGGACTGGACTGGGTGCTGGGCCAGCAGTTACAGACTGCACCTTAGCCCTGGGTGGGTGGCACAAGGCACTGCAGTGCTTGGAAAGCTGTGGCCTCCCTGCTGAGGCAGATGCAGTGCCTTTCTGGAGCAAGCCTGTTTTTCAGATGTGTCTGTGCTCTGTCTTTTGGCCTCTTCTTGGCATGCATGGTGACCAGGCAAAAGACTGATAGAATCTGTGAGGTTTTCTGTATAGCATGGGGATGCTTGGCTTCTTCTGGTTGTGTTAGTGGGGCTCGTGGGAAGACAGTGACAGCCAACAAGTTCTCTCTCCCCCATAAAATCGAGGCTAACATGCACCGTTGACTAGAAAGTGGCAGTGAAGAGGCAGATCTCTGTCAGGAATAATAGTAGTTGGAGAAAGTGGGGCGAAAAAGCCCATAAAGAAACAAAAATATTTGGGAAACTTCACAAAGCTAGAGGGGCAGCTTCCCTCTGGGGTGGGGATGGTGGCAGTCTTCAGTGTAGCTGTAAGTATCTCTCTTCTCTCCTGCCCAGTTTGGAATGAATGCGCTCCTCCTGTCCGCCTGGTTTGGCCACCTCCGCGTCCTGCAGATCCTCATCAATGCTGGCGCCAAGATTAACTGCGTCAATAGGGTGAGAGTGTCCCTACGTGGGTCCATCGTGCAGCTCCAGACAGTGATGGGGGGGAGGAGAGAGTGATTGAGGCTTACCTGTGAGCTAAGGTGAGCGTGTGTGACAGCATCTGCTGTGGGGACTGCCATCTGCACTTCTGCCTTGTTCCTAAAACAGGTGTAAGAATTGTAGCTATCGAGACGTACATGGCTTTATCGGCTCACATTTGTGCAATGCAGAGGTGGAAGGTGTTTCAGAAGTGGGAAATGGGTTTAGTGAATCAGTAGTCTTTCTGTTTTAAAATAGACCTTGGTTGGGAAAAGGAGCATTAATACTTCAGTCGTAACTTGCTGTCAGCAGCACAAGCTGGTTTAGCTCTAGAGGTGCAGGGAGACGTTGAGTGGGTCTTTTCTAACAGGAACAGGTTGTTAAAAGAGACTGTTCCATAGTCTTGGACTTCTTAAAGGAATGGTCCTTTATCTTCTCTCCAGAATGGCAGGAACCTGCTCCACTGTGCGGCTCAGAGGGGACACATCCAGGTGATGGAGTTCATCATGGAGGACCTGGAGGATGTGTGTGTGGATAAGACAGATGAGGTAGGAAGACTCTTCACTGCTTTGTTTCACGAGTTCTGGTCTTGCTCTGCTGAGCTTAGCAGGTATGTTGCTCTTGGTTTTGGGAAGATACTCGGAGTCAGATGCTACTCCTGGAGTACCAAGGGTGTGCCACGCAGGCTCTGGCCTCCTGTGGAGCAGGACTTAGGGGTGATGGGGATTTTGGCTCTGATCAGGCTTTGGCAGACAGGGCTTCCTGGTGTAGCCTTTTGCAGGATAAATTCAGCAATTTCAGTGTCCTTCTGTTGTGCAGCTGATGTTCCAGGCTGTATTGTAAGTAAGTAATAACCAAGGATAACCCTCTCCCAGCATGTTCCAGCATCAGCTGATCAGTTCCTGAAGGACAGTGTAGGAGGAACACAAGAGCTGATGCACACTCTTTTCCACTACCTGACCTTCATGGTTCCTAGGGTGATCCTATGCTGATGCCTGGGAGTTAAATGAGGCAACAAGAGATCTGCCTTTCCCCAAAAGGGGTTCTGACACAGTAACGGGGGTTTCAGATATTTATTCCACTTTTTTGTCTGTAGCTGCTTTTAGTAAACTATTTATTATCCTCTCTGTATATGAAATAAACACTGAAAAGATCTGTTTTCCAGTGTTTAGCAAGACCAAGGTGCTTGGAGTTGTTATCCCCAGTGGATAGTTCTGTTCATCTTGTTCTGTTAGGGTCATCCCAAATGTAAAGCAGAATAAAAGTTAACAGCAGAATAAAAGATAACTATTTTTGAAGTGCAGCACTTTTCCCCCCTGTGGACTGGGTTATCACCCCAGGCACTGTTATATTGCTGGCAGCAGATGATCTAATCTTGTGCTTTCTGAGCCTCTCTTGGGCTGTATTTCTTTGTTTCCTTTCACAGATGGACAGGACAGCGTTTCACCTGGCTGCAGAGAGTGGGCAGCTGAAGGTGGTGGAGTTCCTCATCCAACTGGGTTGTTCTCCCAGCGCCAAAGACAAGGTATGGGCATAAAACCACACGCAAGGGAGGTAAAAGTCCAAGGATTAGAGGATGTGAAAGTCAGGGAACAGGACACCAAATGAGGCTCAGGCAGGCGAATTGTCAGCAGTTCTAACTGTGGTTTTGGCATGTCGGGGCTTTTCTTCCCTATCCACTTACAAGCCATTTGCACCTTGGTCTGTGCTGGATTTCTCTCAAGGACTTTTCAGACAGGACACACGGCAATACAGGGTACATGCTTGGTGGACTGTGCTCCAGTTTAAGGCAGCTGAATTTCTTCGCTCCCTTGCTGCACCTATTAGAAGACTGTTTCAGAGTTGTGCTACTGGTTACAACCTCCTTTTCGGTTACGCCAGATATTCTCTGTGCAAGGTGGTGGTGTATGAACACTCAGTCCTGTGACACATACATGTATGAAGTGTTGTTTGCTTTCAGGAAGAAAATACAGCGTTGCATTTAGCTGCTAAAAATGGACATCTCTCTGTGCTGCAGAAGATTATAGATGTTGGAGTGGACCTGGATGAAAAGAACTTAGTAAGTACACTTAAATGAAATAAAACCCACATCACTTTCACTGTTTCCCTCCCTAGAATACTCAGTATTGACAGGAGAGGTCTAGCAAATAGCTGATTTTATCTGCAGCATACGTGTGCAAATGCAGGTCACACTTGCAGACTATCAGTGAAAGGCAGCATCCTTCTTGGACCGATACCCAATTCTGAAGTGTTGCCTTTTCTTCCTGCTGTATCTGCCGACCTACCTTATCACTCCATTTAATCTCCCTTTTTCTCTCTGACCCTTGTACATTCAAGTGCCTAAATGGTTACTGAGTGTGTTTTAAACTAAACTTCACTGTGCTTTATAGTGTTGACTTAGTCACTGAACATATGGACCTTCTGTTTGAAATATCTCTTTGACAGATGTGCTGTGGAAAATTATGTGCCTGGAACATAGTTAATGATTTAGATAGCAAATATTGGCTTAATAATGCTGTTATTATTCCAGGGCACACTCCCACTTAAGGTTATCAGCTATTTTTTTAGTCTTATTTGGTTACTGTCTTTGAAAAGTGTATTTGATTGATAAAGATCTGAAAGAAAAGCAAAACCACCTTCTGCAGTAACTCTGGTAGCACTTGTTTTCCCCTAGATGAGCTGCCCTTTGTGTGAAGAGCAATAATAAAACCAGATTAAATCACCTGTGTCTTGTAAAGAAATGAGCTGCAGCCCTCAGAAGCGAGAAGCAGTGGTCGAGGGCCAGGAGCTTCCAGTTCTGCCTGTGGCTGTTTCTAGGCTACTGTAGCAAAATGGTTTGGCTTCATTGTCCATGTGAAATCCTTTTTTGTTTGATAATGGGCTGAAAGGGAGAAAAGATGATGGAACATGATGTCTGTCTTATGGCCAGCACTCTGATATGTCAGTGGGAGAGAATTGTGTCCTTTATTTTCCTGACAATCACCCTGGCCCTCCAAATGGGTATTTTAACATGTCATGGATTCAGAAGATAGGGTAGAGGCTTGCTTGTTCTGCTGCTCTGTCTTGGCCTTGTCTCCAGAAATGCTGCTTGTCTCCTTTTTTGCCTTGTCCAGGAAGGACTTACGGCTCTGCACCTGGCTGCTGAGGGGGGTCACAGTGACTGCGTGAAGCTGCTCCTGGAAGCAGGTTCCGATGTCAATGCGCAAACCCAGGTGAGCTCTGGAGGTGATTCCATTTCCGAACACTGTTTTGTGAATTTTTGCCCAGACCTGTGGCCTCCTAGGGATGGCACTCATTATCGGGTGAGGCTGTGTGGAGCCCAGTGCTTCAGGAACAGCGCGGGGAGTCCAGAGGAAAGGCCCCGTGGCTTGCTTTCTGAGAAGAAGCCCTGACTAATACCCATCTCTTCTGATGTCCCTCTCAGAAGAAGATGAACTGCCTTCATTACGCAGCCCTGCACGGCTACGAGGAGATAGCCAGGATCCTCATGGACGCAGGAATCCACGCAGAGGCTGTGAATCATGTAAGGCCCGCTTGATGTTCTCATCACTTACATAATGGCAAAGACAGTTTGTGGAGCTGTTCAAGAGCACAGAGCAACTCTGTAAGGACCAGTGCTGCTGCAGGGTCTGTGCTTGTGGGCCAGTCTGCCCCCAGTCCAGGCTGGCAGCTCTTTTAGAGTTAGACATGCTGGGTACAGTGTGGTCTTTTCAGTGCCCTGAGCTAAGCTCTTCCTAAGTGCAGAGTCTTCTTTCCGCAGCAAAACGTAACAGCGACACACATTGCGGTCCTGCAGAACTTCCCAGCCTTGGTGAAGCTCTTTATTGATGCGGAGTGTAACCTTGACATTCCAGATAATGTAAGACTGCAGCTCCTGTTCTTTTTTCTTTGAAATGTGAACCAGTTTCGTGGGGGATTTGATCACCGTGGGGACAGATTTAAAGAAGAGTGCCTTCAAATGGGGAAAACCTGGAAGTGTAGCTTAGGAAACATGAAACCTGTGAAATGATGGAGTGTTGCAGTGAGGTAATCACTTGATGGCATTCAACACGTGGGGTGTGCCGTGTCCCTGGGACCTGTGCTGAGCAATGTTGCATAGTGGGAGAAATTTCAGGACAGAAGATATTCTGCAAAATGTTTGGGGGCGCTGAGAATGGGAGGAAGGCCTGGAGGTAGCTGGTTGTCTCACCAAATTGTAATTTTGTGAATAAGGGGCTTTGTGTAGCTTGTTTGTAATGTTTTGGTTAATGTTCGTTCTTGTAGTGGTGTTCTCTCCCAGTGACACCATAAAATTGCCACATTTTGTGTTTGATTTTAGTTGTTTCCATTAAACAGTCCCAAGGTGCCCGCAGTTTGCAGTGCATACGCATTAACCCGGCCCTGTGTCCCAGGAACAAAGAATTGGCACAGGTCCTTTCCTCCCTTAGCCAAACTATCTGCCCAAATTGTTTAAAGAGCAGGAAATAATATAGGCCTGTAAGTGACCCTAGGGAGCTTTATGGAACTGAAGAGGTTCTTTCTTTACACTGAAATGTTATCAGAGAGGCATCCTAGTGTCGATGCTGGGACAGGGACAGACCACTTCTGCTCAGCCTGAGGATCCCAACCCCAGTTCGAGGTACGAGGGTTTTTGACCCTCAATTTAAAAAGGGATAGAGGGGAAAGGAGGGCAGCGCTGACAGCGTTCTTCCTCCTGATATTGTTCTGTCCTGTCCTTCCAGCCTCACACTTTTCCTTCTCTGAAATTTAGTCCTTTCCCCCTCCTCCTGCAGAGGCAGCAGACCTCGCTCCACATCGCCGCGGAGCATGGCAGGCAGGACATTGCCGAGATGATTCTCATTGCAGGAGTTAATCTGAAGCTGGCAGACAAGGTAAATATTTCCATGGGTTGAACAGATGGTGGGCAGGTATGGAGGGAAAATGTGGATGGTCTTTGCCACTGTTTTTCAGAATTTTCAAGGAAGGCAAGTTCACACAATGCACAGACTTCCCTCTCTAAGTTGTTTTAGGTCCTGCTACATCTACTTGTGCTATTGTGTGTTAATATCAAAGATCTTTTTGGAGTAAGGATAAATAATATACTCTAGGGATCACAGTACATGTTTTAATAGGTTAAAAATATCTCATTGATGTAGCTCTGGCAGCAGTGTCCAGGGCTTTTACCCCCAAATTAAATCAACAAAAGGAATTGTAGAGGAATCAGGCAAGTTGTGTGCAGTCTGAAAGCATTGTTTGTGTCTGGAAAATGCTGGAGAGGGCTTGAGCAGAGATGAACTGAGTGTCTGCCATCTGCAGTGGGTTAAAGCACGTACAGACTCAAGCCACCTGGCTGAAAGGGCTTTCAGCTGCAATGAATGTTTGCCACCTTCCAGCCATCTATGGAATCACAGTGAGACTCAGCTCAGAGCACACATTCACACTTTTCTGTGTGAAATGGGGTTTCTGCTCACATCTGAGGCTGGAATCGTTCTCGCCGGCATGCCTGATGGCTGGCTGGCTCGCCTTCCTTCATGCAACTTTCAAATCTTATTCCTTTCTGCTTTTAGATATAAATACAAATCCCCTCCCTGCCCAATCCAAAATCATCGTTATGTAAGGAGCATAGTTACATTTTCCGAGTCCCATCAGCCTGTGCTTCTCCTAGGAGACCGTTTCTAATCATGCAGATGCGGAGCCTATAAAATTAATGAGGTTGTATAAGTCACTTCAGTTTCATGTGTCAGCAAACCTGCTGTGCGAAAGGCTATAAAACGCCTTGGATCGTAGTGCTGAGCTGGTCCTTTGACAGCCTGACAGCACCCTGCCATCCGCTGTGGGTTATGGGATGTCTTCACAGCTGCTCCTGCCAAATGGGCAGATCCTCTGCGGCCACAGAGGAGATGCTGCGGAGCCTGGAAAATGACTCCCCATGCCCTGCACTCAGTCGCTTGAAGCTAGCTCACATCTGAGGTGTTTTCAGGTGGAGAACAGGGGTTCTTCATCGTGGCTGGGTGTGTTGCTTGATATGCCGTGCTGCCTGCAGTTACACACTGCCGGGTGGGCACGGAGATGGGACCTCCTAAGCACGCAAGGTCTTTTCCAGCTCATTTTTCGCCTTCTAATTTCAGCAAGGGAAAACGTCTCTGGATGTCGCCGCCCGAGGCAATCACATCAGCTTGGTGGACATGATTATCAAAGCCGATCGGTTTTACAAATGGGAGGAGGTAAGCAACTTATACCACCATCCCCTGCGTTCCCCAGCGTGGATGTAGCTTTATCCTCTCCATTGAGACTCCACATCACCAGCTATCAAAAGGAAAAGAAATGCAGGACATCCTGTGACAGCCTGACCTCTGCTTTCATCACCTTAAGAAAAACAAAGTCCTCACTATGCCAACAACATTTACTTAATGCTTTCCTTGTTTAAAAAAGCCTCTGTGGTTAAAAGCCCAGCCCAGTGCTGGTGGAACAGGGGCTTTCAATGATTCTTTGGCAGCTGTTCCCAAAGCCCTGAAGGAGGGAGCGGGGTACCATTAGTTCCTTTTCCCAGAAGGAGAAACTGAAGCACTGAGCAGAAAAATGCTTGGCCCACAGTCACCAAATGGGACATGGGGAGTTTTTCAGCAGTGGAAGGGAGACCCCTCTTGTGAGTGATCAGTTTTTGGAGTCATACACGACTTCGCTCTCAAACTGCCCCACAGCTGGGGCCGTTCCTCCCGTGTTCCCCGCTGTGGCCCAGACATGTCTCTCCTCCCACGGCCACGTGTGCCGGGTGCAGCTGCTCAGCCCCAGTCCCCCCTCGGAAACCCTACCTACCTGGGCCCAAACCAGTCTGAGCAGAGGGTGTGCTGGACGTGCAGCCAAACACCACATCCCTTGTGTCTTTGGAAGTTTTTGGACATCCTCCCATACTAGGAAAGACAGTGCTTTCTGGGGAGAGAAAAGGAAGGAGAGTAATGATGTGTGTATCAGGCCCTTTCATGGGCTTCCCGCAGAGCCCTGGGGAAAATCATTTAGCCTCTTCGCAGTCTGGCGCGTTAAGGGGGCTGAGCAGCTGTGCCTATGTTACAGGGGAGCAAGGAGATTTAATTAAATGATTCTGTGTACAAGCCCTGGATAAAAGGCACTGTAGAAATGCAAATTGTGATCTGTATGGTCTTCCAGAGCAAAGCTGCTGTTAACAGTGTTTGTTAACATGCATGATTAGAACAGTGAAACAGGAGAATAAAGAGAATTAAAAAAACTGTGCTGTGCCAGAATGAACTCACAGCGACTTGCAGGGCTGAGGATGTGGAGGCTGCAGCGTGACAGGTACGTCTGAACCGACTGAACCCCTGTTCTGGCTTTGCAGGACAACCTGAACAGTGACTCGGACTCGTGGCTGGCCAAGCACTTGACCTTCAAACAAGATCACAGGCTGGAAACGCGGCACATCCGCTCAGTCATGTGGAGATTAGCTACTAAGTACCTCAAACCTGGGGAATGGAAGAAGCTGGCGCATTACTGGAAATTCACCGACGCCCACATTAGGGCCATTGAGCAGCAATGGACAGGTACAAACCACTGCCCGGGTATTTCCTTCCTTCCCTTGGGCTGTGTTTCTAGGAGATAAGTCTGCAGTAATAGCAAAGCATGAAGAAAACCATCTGGCTTATTTGAAACAACCCGAATTTTGGGTTAAAAATCCTGTTTTTAATGAATGTGGAGTTATCTACACAGTGGAATTTGTCTGGGAGTAAAGCACACGAGCACGAGGGTTAGGAGTCCCTTGCTCGCTGTTTCTGAGGCACCTGCCAGACCTGTGAGTTCTTGCTACAAGTCTTGTTCTAGAGGACAGAAGAAACGTGCTGGGTTTTATTTTTCTTTTAAAGAGTTGAACCAAGAAGGCAGAGAAGTCCCAGAGAACTGAGATCTGTTAGCAGAAGCAGGTTCTGAGTTTCAGAAACAGATCAGCACTGGCTGGGTTGCTGTCAGGACTCCTGTAGTTTGCATGGTGGGAGCAAGGGGCTAAGCTGTGCTGTGGAGACAGAAATTCTGTATTGCCATGAAAGGCTGTCTGAAAGCCCAGGCTCATCCATGGCCACTCCATAAAGTTTCACACGAATCTAGGAATCGCACCACAACCAGGAATTAAGCTAAAATGTACCGTAGAGCCTCCTGGTAAAATCCAAAGAGGAGGGAGTGTTGTCCCAAAGCTGGGTTCTTCACCCGGTGTGCAGTGAGCCAGTCAGCACACTGAGTCGAGGTGTTTGTTTTTTTATTTCTAGTAGGGCGCCAGGCATCTAGCAGCAGCCAGCACACCTTTTAAGAAACACGGAGATTCTTTTATACAGAAAGAGAACAAAGAAGAAATCCCATTACAGCAGCTGATTGGTCGCTTGTATGAAAGCTCATTTGCACGCATTCTAATTTCTGTCCATTATACTAAGGTGCTTCTACATTGACACGTAAAGTCTCCTAGGGGTGTGATTTTTTTGTAATATAATTAGCTAAGGTAACAGGTTTTACCTTTGTCCTGTCTGCTACCACCAAGCTACTGTTTAACTGTGTATCCAGTTGCGGTTCCTGCTTCAACAAGGACTCGTTTTGGGGTAGGTGCTTCCAGCACCCTGTCTCTAAGGTCTTTCCCCTCCTGCTACTCCCATTTCTATGGTTTCAGGACAGACCATGGTTCTCAATGTGTACAGTTTTAACCCCTTTTGACACCAGGAGGGCTGTCCAAACCCACAGATTCAGAAATCTGCTCTGGTCAGGGCCGTGCGCTGTAAGTGCAGGATTTCATTTGTGGTTTGATCTCACCAGGTACTAAAAGCTACAGGGAGCACGGCCACAGAATGCTGCTTATCTGGCTGCACGGCGTGATCACAGCAGGAGAAAATCCAATCAAGGGATTGTACGAAGGCCTTGTGGGGATTGGAAGAGGAGATTTAGCAGGTAAGACTTTTGGCTTCATTCATATAACGCACACTGAGCACTACCTGAATTCTGTGGTTACGCAGCGCACACAGAGGAAAACGTTAAGTGAAGCCAATTCACACAAGCGGGAAGGTACCCAGCCCTGCCCCCTCGCTGCCATTACATGGCATTGCCTTCTCTTCCTTTTACTTTGATGAATGAACACATCCTGCCCCAGCTTTGTACCTTCTGTGCAGCAGAACGTTGCCTTTTCTTTTACAGAAAGCATTCGGAAAAAAGCAAACGCAGACTCTGCCTCTCCGCGGAAGTGTGTCGTGATGTAATGCTGGGAGCGCACCAGTGGCTCCTTCATCCGCTGCAGCCTCAGCTTGTCTTGGAGTTTGAGGAGAAACACTCACTCTGCTGCTCAGCACAGGGCAGCTGCAACTTAAGGGCTTCTGCCATCGCTGCTTCTTCCTCGGTCTGAAAAAACACAGGAATCAGCAAACACTAGCGGTCTGAACTGCCTCTGGGCTGGATGCTGTAATGAAGAGTTCAGCGAGCAAGCCTCAGAGGACAGCTGGGACAGGAAACACTGTTTTACTGTAACTCGTTTACACTTTTGTATAGAAATTTTTAATTGCCATTTTTTAAAGTTATTGAGGGGAAAGCCTTTGTTTTCAGGAGTGTTTACTTCCCTTTCTCGCTTTCAGGAGGAGCAGGGAGCATGTGTGACTTGTGTCTTAGACGCATTCATAACTTCCCTGGTAGGGTGGGAATGTCAGAAGAAAATCCAAGGCTACCACCTGGTCCTTTTGGAACCTTAAGGGTTGTGATCTTTAATGTTTTGACTCTTCACACAAGGTTTCAGAGAACATTTATACAGACTGTTTATAAATGTACATTAACACCTGTGCTGTTTATAAACCAAACAGGTAACTTCTTCAACAGCTTGCAAAGTGTGATATAAGATCATGGGCTATCTCCACAGCCTCTGACAAGGACATACAGTTTCTTAAATTCCAATTTGTCCTGTAATACTTTGTATTTATTTTTTATGGTGTTTCAAGGGGAAAATGATGTATTTCAATAAATCCAGATTTTACCCTTAAATTTGCAAGTTATGAGTCATTATTAAAAAATACTACACTATTTTATTTGGAGCTAAACCAGTGCAACCTTGTAAGTAAAGCTTGAGGTGAATTCAAGGAGCCGGGTCCTGGTTTTTTTAATTTCTAAAGGTGTCTGCGGAGGCAAACCAGGACTGGAGTAAATTATGCTGCTGTTCTCTTGTAGTCAAAACAAGAGACACTTGGGAAATTGAAGTTTTATTGAAAATCACTTTTAAACAGCAAGAAAGTTAAAAATTCAAACACTTTATTTCAAATAGAAACAAACTAACAACATACGAAGCAAATAAGTGATGGCAACATTGGCACTTAAACATCTTTAAACCAAATATTCAACAAAAATATGTCAGCTTATAAGTACACAATCCACATGTGGCAATATATACAGCTGAGTGAAAAACATAAAAAGAAATATTGTTCTGCTTAAGAACATGATAGTGAAGACTTTGGTAGCAAAAAATGTCTTTGTTTTTAAAACTTGTAGTCTTCAAAGATGCTTCCTTGAATTCAGAGACTAAAAACTAAACAGATCTATCCTGCTACACTGCTGGAGGTTACCGTCCACGGGGAGTTTACTGACCGTTGATTCCCGGTGGAATCACATAGTGATCAGCAGCTAACACGAGGAAAAAGGCGGAGCAGGAACAGTTGATTGTACACAGGAAGACCACCGAACCGATTCCTCATTTTCTCCAGCACTCCAAACCCTACTGCTCTTCTTGCTCGTTGCTGTTGTGAAGACTAATCTTCTGAACTTCCAGCTCTTCTGCGCTGACCATGGAGGGATCGATGGCTGCGTACCGGGTACCATGGAACTGCAGTAAATGGATCTGTCGGACACAAAATAATACAGAAGCACAAGGTTTTGGTTAAAGAGAAACATTTCTTATGAGTAATTTTTGTGAGGATGAACTCATGGCTCTGGAGTACAAGAGTTCAAAGAGTGGAGAGAGAGGAAACAGGCAACAGACAAACGCCCAAATCCAGCCCTCCACGAACGCAGCTGCTCCGAGACCAGGAGTCTCCTCCTGCCGCTCCAGCTGCACGTGTCAGTAAATCGGGTTGGAATGTGGAGACTCACTTGAATGTATAGATTGACCTCGGCGCTCCTGCAGAGGTACGGGAAGTTGCCTCCTGTTTTGAGATGAGCTCTTCTGGCGTTAGGATACAGCTTGTACATTTCTTCTTTTGCTTCAGTGGACAGTGCGCTTTGGTCAAACACCTGTGTGACAAGTGACAGCAGTCAGTTCTGAATCTACTCAGATTTTGCTTATTCAGTCAGACTGGATAGGTGCTGCTCCTCGAAGCGGTTCTCAGCTTCTCTGTGGAACAGCGTTAATGAATCAGAAGACAAGCAAACACGTAGGCAAGATGTATAAACACGTTATTGCACAGAATATCTAATTTGTACTTTAACACAGAAGAGTCATGGTGTTGCCCAGGCAGTAGAAGGCTTATCTAAATATGAATTTAGATGCTGAAAATATTTATTAAAGTTGCTAACAGAATATCCAGGCCCCACCTGCCAAGGGGAAGAAACAGGACTTAAAAAAAAAAAGGATTATGTTGAGATGAACTTACATCCATAATGGTTACGGGGATGTCTCGAATTTTATGAGGTTCTACGTAGGAGTTCTGGCAGTTGAGGGTAAGTCTTGAAGCAAGCTCGCTCTGGCCCAGACTCTCCAGCTTTCAGGAGAGAGAAATACGGATTAACAACGTGCTTCGCTGCAGAAAGTTAGTTTACTGCTAAAGTAAATCTACAGAGACTGACGTCACAGCCGTTGGAGTACGCCGCTACCTACCCTGTCCACCATGAAATCGATCCCGTCGGCCATTTCAGGATCGAGCGGACCAGATGCAAAATTCCCAAGGACAATTTTTTTCAGCATAAAAGCAGGCATCAGCCAAAAGCTAAAAGAGAAACAAGATGTTACAGTCTTCAAGCACCCAGGACCCCAACATTAAGACGCTTTGTTGTAAGCGCTCCCTTTCCTTGCACAGACTTTGAGCTTTAAGCTCAAATTAAATCCTGAAGAAGCTTCAAGAGCACAGAGATGGAAAAATCTTGCAGCTACATGCTTGAAATGCTCTGGGAAGCTGTTAGTCTGACACTGCAAAAGTATATTTTAAACACTGCGAATAACACTTGTCTCACTCTAAATGGTTTTGCTAGAAATCAGGCAGAGTTCTGAGATCTGACCACACATCCCCAGAGGATCACAGGACAACTCATCTGTCAAATTCCACAGTCCCAATTGTGAAAATTTCCATTTTGCTCGTGGCATGGCTTTAAGAGTCACAAGTATTCCATCCCACACCTCCCTTACCCGGGTTGGAAACAGGTCAGACACACGCCCAACCAGAACAGCCATGACATTTCATTGCAAAAATAAAACAAATGTCACAAACCTGACTGTCTGGCTCAGTCATCCTTACCTGTTTGCTGTCCACGTCTGATTGAAGATCGAAGTGTCACTAAAGGAATTGCACAGGATCAGAGATTGAACTCTGGGGGATTTGTGTGTGTATTCAGCAAATTTTTGAGCCAGAAAGCCTCCCAGAGAAGCTCCAAAAAGGTGAACCTAATTCAAGGGGAAAAAAAAACCAAAACCAACAGATCATGTTACACTTGTGAAATACGGGACCTTTAAGCACATTTAATTACAAAAAATAAGTCATTCAAGTTTTAGCCTGTCCTCATAACCCATTTTTTTTTAAATAATCCAACTCTTCTATTCAGCTTCTGGTTTTATACGTGATATAAACACGATAAATACTGAAAAAATAAAGTGTTTCCCTATCACAGTTCAAATTTCTGCTTGCTCATCAAGCTTAAGAAGAAAATTTAACATTTTACTTCAACAGCTATTCCAATCGAGGTAACTTCATTGTGGCATTCTGTACTATGTGAGTTAGGAAGGATAACTTCCACAGGAGCTAACAAAAAATTGAAGTTAACCAATATAATTTAATAGGCCTAGAACAGCAGTTGTATTTAGGCCAAGTATGACAATTTTCAAGGGTACTCACCTTCAAAAATAAACTAATTTCAAAAGTAAAATTGCGACACAGTCTCTTTATTTATAGGCTATGGTTTCGCCTCTTATTTTATACACTTGCTCTCAAATGCGACTCTTTCAAACATTAGGTTTTGATGGCAACTATACGCCCATTCCCCCATCTTGGAGCACTCACTTTATCCAGCTGAAGGTGGTCTAACAGCTTTCTGAATCCATCACAGAACTCAAGGTGATCCCAGTACACTGGATACTGCAACTACAATAATACAACGTCAGAACAAGCCAGTCTCTGATCAGAAATTGTCAGCTGCCTGCTTGAACGCCACCCCAACTGTCACATTAAAGGTTTCGAGACAGCAGCCTGCCTCTGCTGTGCCATCAGGCTCAAGGTCCCTGCAGCCAGCGGGTGTGAACACCTCCCCGTCGCTTCTACAAAAATACACAAAGTACTGCAGAGCACGTTTGTTGGGGAAAGTGCAGCGTTGCTTCACTCCGTAATCAGGGGGAGGAGAGGCCGGAATGATTTCTCAGTGATTCTGGACCATGTCCGGAAATCATTAACTGCTGTTGGAGAACCAGCAGGACTGCTGAAGCCACGTGTTTAGCAGAAATATTGTAAAAATCAGTCATCTCAGTTCAGCTCGGGAGCTGAGAAGTCACAAGAGAGCACGGGGTTTGGATTTTAAGGAGCAACTTAGCATTTGCAGCAGGCAGGCTGAGCACCAGGTTATCCACCTCCCCAAGGCAAACACCGAAACCCTGAACTAACCCATACGCTTGCCTTGTGGCTAACGAAGATCCCGCTGGAGGCAAAGACAAGTGGTGTCCAGGGCACACAAAGGAAAAAACCAGACCAAGAAGTTAATAATGTGTCTGCACAAGGCTTTGGGTAAATGCTGCCATGAACTTACAGCAGATTTCAGCCTGGATCTGTGTGCCACGTACTCTGGAGTACAACTTTGCATGATTTTTTGGTAGATTCCATCAGACAAAAAGCAGTTGATTCTCATTATTCAACCTCTGATGAGAGCAACAAGCACAAGCACGGTAACTGTGACACAGGACTGAGAATACTCACAGCGATAACTCTGTAGCCCCATCCAGTCAGCGCCAAAATCTGCTGGAAAAACACATCTGCAGTTCCACTTACAGGAGGGAGAAAGATGAGCGGGCACCGGATGCTCCGAGGTC